ACATCTCGATGAGTGAAACCAGCCTCAACTAGCATCCTTATCTCCCTCTGACATTGCTCCATCTTTACTTTAATTAAAATAATTAATAATGTGCTCCACTGCATGCTCCGCCCTTCAACCTAGCCCCCTAGACGGCCCTAGAACTTCTGGGTTTTCGATAGTCTGAATGCTGATATATTGCCTGTGCTGCTCACGCAGCACAGGCAGTCAGCTTTTACGTTAATGAGTTAGTTTATTGTGGTTGGCCGGAAGGTACACGCACTATATGCACCAATGGTTTTCACAAACACATCATTCACATTGCACAAGCAGTGAAATATAAGTCACATTAAACAACCAATGTTTTTAAGATGATGGACCTCCCATACACCATACCCACTTTCCATCAACAATCAATGCTTAAGAAAATTTAATAGACGTAACTGCTTGGAAATTATTAGTACCAACGTGCTTCAAATACAAAACAGGTGTATTAGTATCACAAGGAATGCCATATCAAGTTTGGGTTCCATATCTAGCCCAGCCAACAAAAGTAGGAGTTAGTAAATATGAATATGTTTATAGTATACCACACCTGTGAGGTGTATATGGCTTATATACTAACTGAGCCCAAGGGCGTAACCCGAGTGCGAGGTTAGTATATATAAGCCATATACACCTCACAGGTGTGGTATAATGAATTTATATTCTGATGAAGCCAATCATTGCGCATGCGCAGTAGGTCAAACAGACTGCTTTTGTTTCATTATCATGGCTGAAGCTGGATCTATGGAAGAGAATCAAGAAAAGGAGAATGTTCCTCCTTCTAAAAAAAGAAGGGTATCGTTGTCTTTAAAAAAGAAAAAATTCCAGCCATCATTATCAGAGAAAATCGACGAAATAGCCAAGCATAAAGTCCCGAAAAACACCAAAAAGATGAGCAAGTGGGCCATGAAGAACCTAGAGGACTGGTTTAAGGACTACAATAAACGGAATCCAGACAAAAAGTGTCCTGATGAGTTTCTCACACGGCACAAGTGCTCTAAAGAAGTCATTTGTAAGTGGCTATGTCTGTTTGTCAACGAAACTAGAAACAAAAGCGGCAAGCGATACCCACCAAAGACCATTCAGTGTTTGCTAGCAGGAATTATGCGTCATATGCATGACCAAAATTCTGAGTATCCTAATTTTATGTCAAAAGATGATCCAGCTTTCCACACTTTCATAGTCACTCTTGATAACCTCTTTAAAAATTTGCATAGTGATGGAATTGG